AACAAGAATTTTACTGCCATGTAAGACGATTTAGTACCAAATATGGCAAAATGCCACAAATTGCGCTAGAGTAACAAGAATAGGCAAGAATTGTTGAAGGGCAAGAAAGGGGCCAAGAACACCCGCGTACCACTGTTTTTCCCTAATAGTAATGGTTGTCTTAACTGGGATACGTTCTTTTCCAGTAATTTTGTAATGCGTTCCATTTTCGCGAAAATGAAATCACCACTTACAAACGTGACACTATTTATAATTACTGACAGTACCAAAATACTGTAATATCAATCTGTGTATGCTTCGTTCTTCCATCAACATACAGCTACAATGCATAAAAAAGAGTGCCGCCCACAGAAGGGGGCAAATTTTAAGCAATAAAGGGGGTTGGTAGCAGAACTTTCATGCCCAAGAACCCACCGCAACCATCGTTCAAAATATCAAGAATAGCACATTGGGGGAAAGAAAACAGCCATTATACATGAATGTTGCTGTGCAATACCCAAAGTTTTTTAAGCAGGGATTGCCAGTGACCTGGTAATCCTTCCCTTCCTAGAATTTTGCTAAATTTCTTATTTTTGCGATTTTTTCGATATTTGTCACGAGTGTTTTTAGCACGCAAGAAAAATCCTTGTTACTTTTGCGATTTTTGCGATATTTGCGGTCATCTCGGGGCCCTTATTGATTTCTTCTTTTTCTAAATCTACCATTTTGTTAAAATTGTTATTTTTGCGATATTTGTCACGCGTGTTTTTAGCTAGCTAGAAAAATCCTTGTTACTTTTGCGATTTTTGCGAAATTAGCGGACATTTCGGGGCCCTTCTTGGCTTCTTTGCTTTCTAAGTCAGGAATTTTGTTACATTTGTTATTTTTGCGATGTTTGCGATATTTGGCACTGGCGTTTCAGGCTAGCAAGAAAAACCTTGTTACTTTTGCGATTTTTGCGATATTAGCGGACGTTTTGGGGCCCTTCTTGGCTACTTTTCTTTCCAAGTCAGGAATTTTGTTAAATTTGTTATTCTTGCGATTTTTGCTATATTTGTCATGGGTGTTTTTAACTAGCAAGAAATATCCTTGCTATATTTGCGATTTTTGCGATATTTGCGGACATTTCGGGGCCCTTCTTGGCTTCTTCTTTTTCTAAGTCTAGAATTTTGTTAAATTTGTTATTGTTGCGATTTTTGCGATATTTGTCATAGGTGTTTTTAGCTAGCAAGAAAAATCCTTGTTATATTTGCGATTTTTGCGATATTTGCGGACATTTCTGGGCCCTTCTTGGCTTTTTCTTTTTCTAAGTCTTGATTCTTGTTAGATTTGTTATTCTTGCGATTTTTGCGATATTTTTCATGGGTGTTTTCAGCTAGCAAGAAAAATCCCTGTTATATTTGCAATTTTTGCGATATTTGCGGACATTTCGGGGCCCTTCTTGGCTTCTTTGCTTTCTAAGTCTAGAATTTTGTTAAATTTGTTATTTTTGCGATGTTTGCGATATTTGTCATGGGTGTTTTTAGCTAGCAAGAAAAATCCTTGTTATATTTGCGATTTTTGCGATATTTGCGGACATTTCGGGGCCCTTCTTGGCTTCTTTGCTTTCTCTAAGTCTTGATTCTTGTTACATTTGTTATTCTTGCGATTTTTGCGATATTTGTTAGTGATTTTCTAACATAATTTGTTCTCAATTATTTCTTTTGCGACAATTGCGAAAAACATTTGCTAGCAAATTTTTGCTAACAAGATCGATCCTGGACATATCTCAACTACTCTACGTCCTTACCTTAACATTATTGCCAAAAATGGAATAATAACTAGCAGAAAATATTTCAACCAAAAATCAAGGAGGTACTAAACAAAAGAAAGAAAGTTTTTTTTAGAAATTGTACAAAATTTGTTTTGTACTTTTTCAAATCTTCAATAATTAATTGTTCATACAGCTTAATTGGTTTGCCGGTGTTTAATGGTTTGGTAGAAAGTAAAAAAACTGTAATTTTCTAACAGGCCGTCAAAAATTCGACGTACTTCAGGGTAATCTTTTTCCATGTTTACTAACATGATGTTTCTTATTTTGCTATAATTTCAGAAGGGAAAGGCCGCCACCCTTTCCAAACTACCTCTCAGCTCTCTTGCGGAATTCAGTTTTTATATGTGATAAAGACGCGTCTAAACCTTGCATCTAATTTTTTGGGCCAAAAGCCTGAAACTAGGGCTTTGTTTGAATACATATTCAGTAAATTCACATTTTAAAGAGGTGTATGTATGTCGTTCAAAAATTGTCGTGAGTGTTTGCTTGGAAAGCAAGGGGATTGAAATATAGGCTCTGCAAGTTTGGATGTAACTTTTGGCTGTTAATATTGTGGCAAGATTGCCATTATCGAATTGTAAAAGGTATAATAACAGTACGTCTATGGAATGTTGTAGGGTACGCATAATAGTTTAAGTGAAGGAGAAGAGGCAGCCTTTAATAAAAGTTAATCGTAGCGTGTTTCCTTGTGTAAAAAGGTAAATGGTGTATAATCCAAAAGCTCTAGCAATGAAAGTTTACAAGAGTTCAAAGATTTCTTATTGGTGAATGTCATTGCAAAACTACGCGAACTCAGAGAGAGTCAATTGTGTTGTTGAGTTTGCTGTTGGTATCTTTGTTGTTGTTGTTGTGAATCTACTTTATGAGTCATATTTTATGTCACTCTTAGCATTTTACCTTCTACATTATTTATTTACTCTTTTTTCTCTTCATCACTTCTTTTAACTGTTGATTGTGCTTTCTTTTTAACTTTTTTGTTTTCTTGTCTTAAATTTTCATTTTGTTCTTTCAAATTTTCATACTCCTCTTTTAAATTTTCCATTTCTTCCTTTAGTTCTTTATTTTGTTCTTTTAAATCGGCAAAAAAAGAAGGCTTTGTTAGTGAAGCCTAGTATTCCA